GTTTCTGAGGGGTTTGGTTAGGTCTACAGCAAGGAAAAGAAAAATATATATAGATAGATAATATAATAGAAATATGATTCATAAAAATAGAAAATAAATAAAAAAAAAAAAAAAAAAGAAAAAAAAAAAAATAATAGTCAAATAATACAGAAAGAAGATATAGGATAGAAAAAAAAAAAAAATAATAATAGAATAGGTAGAAAAATAAAACATACATAAGAAATAATATAGAGACATAGAAAAATAATAAAAAATATGATAATAGAAAAAAAAATAATAACAAAATAAAAGACAAAAAAAAATAAATAAAATAATAAAATAAAAAAATAAACCATATCAAGAGCTAAAAATATATAAAATAGAAGAAACAATGTAGTATAGGAAAAAATAGCTGAATATATGAGAGAGTGCGTTTACTGCTGGCTAGAAATGAGTGTAGCGCGCGAAAAAGCGAAAAAACACGAGCCTCTCAGATCGGTAAACTGTAGATGTGATGAGTCAGAGATGGTAGGTAAAAAGAGAAGAGAATAAGATATAAGAAAATATAGGATTCTTTTTGTTGCTAGAAAAAAGGTACAATAGGAGAGAGAAGAAAATAGAGAAGATAGTAAAAAATACACATTTGCCAAAATAAAAAAAAAAAAAAAAAAAAAAAATAGAACAATGGGTGAGAGGAAAAAATAATGTATATATAGAGAGACAAAAAAAAAAAAATAAATAATGAAAAAAAAAAAAAAAAATAAATATAGTAAATAATATAAAAAATATATATATATATATATAATATATAAAATAGAAAAATAATAGATATAATAAGTAATATAAGATATAAATAACCAAAAATATAGATAAAAAATAAAATAAAAAAATATACTATTTAATATTAGTTAACGATAGGAGAAAAAAAAAAATAAAATAAAATAATATAAGAAGAATAGAAAATAAAATATATAATACAAAAAAACAAGGTCTTCCTGTTTTCTCCACCAACTTCAAGATCGTTTACTGTTTCATCCATTACTTTGCCAAAAATGACTTTAACAAACTTGTTCCGGTAATAAATGTCAATGTGAATTTCTGTGGTGCGCTCTTCTTCTTTCTTAACTTTAACCTTGCCATGATTATTTTGTTTTCTTCCTCCCGCATCTCACTTTGGTTTACCCTCCCTCACAGCTGTATTTGTGTTGCCTCGAGAGGGCAAAGACTCCAAATAAAAAGGGCTCACACACAGTGATTTGTTACCTACTCACTGAATCCTCAGTCTGCACTGACATTACGCGGTGATATGGAACAGCTCACAAACGAACAGCATGTGAGGCAGCAGAAAAATGACCTATACAATACACTAAAATGAAAATGAAACAAGTTCATCATTACTGTTAAGCTGATCACCTACTCTGGTTTGCGATGGAGCTGTCGATCCAGCTCTCAGCTATAGCGCTGTCTCTCGCATGCTTATTACATCCTGTTTGGTCTGATCACGACTCTATTGAACCTGCCATGGACCTGTGTAATTGCCCTGCTAATTAGGGACAGGTCGGGTTGACGCCTCCTCATTAGTTGGACTAAATAGTTGAATTCATATCCTGTCTTGGAGGTGAACTCTTGCAGCCTTAAGGTGGGCGAGTCTGTCTAATCCCTTCCTATCTCCATTATATCGTAATGTGAGAAAATAAAAGATAAAAAACTCGCCCCACTGTTTAATAAGGAATACGACCGTACGGCGTGCAGTAGTTCGCTCTCCTCGCTCGCAACACTGCGCCTAGATAATTCTGCCCCTGACATCTCTTCCTGTACGGCAAAATACTATAGATATTGCAAACACATACAGTGCTTTTAACAGAATATAGAGTGAGGACAATAAAGATACATGAAAATTCCGGGGCTGGAATTAGGAGAACGCAGCAGAACATAAACTACAAAATTCAACTGAATCACATATCTAAACAATCAAAACTTCCAAAAGAGGAACTGAGCGAGACTTGCAACACAACAAATCCGGCACACTCGAGTCGCCAACCACCCACGCACAACAATTAAAAATCGTCACCTGCTTAGCCACAATCGTAGCCAAATTTCCTACACACCAGCATCACTAAGCCGGCCAATGAACACATGCAGTGTACTCTTTGTAAAAAAAAAACCACAAAACAACAAAACCAATAAATAGGCAAAAATATAAGATAGTATAACGATAGTGTAATATAAATAATAGGACTGACAAATACTAAACTGAATGTATATAAAAAAAAAAAATGGCAAACAACAGACAGGCAAGATCGACCGTAATAAAACAAAGCCGAGAAAAAGAAGTCACTAACATCAAAAAATTGGCGTGCCAAAAAAAAAAACAACAAACAAAGACAAACCAAAACAAAATTACCAGAGAGATCAAAAAACCAAAGACTTATAAGAAGAAAACAACTTACTAGAGATTTCCCCAGAAGGGGATAACAAATAATTACAGACAGACATAGGACCTGTCAACACTAGAAAAAAACAAAAAAAGAGCAGAAAAATCAAATCATAAATGACATCGCGTGACTACTGGTCATATTTAAAAACATGATAAGCACGAAAATCCTGCATCAACAAAATTAAATTCAATTTTACGGAGTGTCATAGCAGAAACCCGCTACCCTGTTCACTGCATAGGCAGTCGCATCTCTGCTCGTGCAATTTCCCCTGACATACAGAATGGGGTGGGGTGTGCTCTCTGTCATTTTCTACTCAAGAATTGTCTGAGTCCGTGTTCTCATGCCGGCCAGCTTTACAGCTACCGGCGTCCTGGCACTGGGCTGTTCGCTGGTCGACCTGCGCCTCTTCCTGCTCTTCCCTTTTGGGCCCTCGCCAGGCACGGAGCCCTCCGCTCCGTGCGTGGTGACTGTGCTTCGAAGGTGGGCTGAATTTTTTTGAAGGGAGATGAGAACGTGATGGGGTCTTTTTTTTTTTCTTGGTCTTAGTTTTTCATTGTTCTGTTTTGGGGTTCTGTGAGAATATAGTTTATATTACAATCAAAGAGAAGGCTTCACACCATTCCATGCTCGGTTAGGAATAAACAAGTTGTACCGTTTGTAACATATCATTTTTTTGAAGTGATGTTGCAGTTATTTTTCTTGTTAAGAGAACCGTCATTAATAACACGTTTTTTTTGTATTTGTTATTGTGTTACAGTGAGAGAACGTGACAACATGCGGACCCTCAATCACCACCACGCTAAATCCTTCCATACAGTCCCGATAACACCTGACTTGATTTTTTGGAAATTACTTACTGGTTTCCCTGCAGTTCCGCACGGTTTCCCGCTCTTGCCCTGTTAATAGACAGAAAAAATGCTGAATAAGACAACAAACAGCTGTTTCTTATTCATACTCTTTGCACACTGCCACACAGGCCAAACTAACCTCCAGTGCTCGCTGTGGGAGGAACGCATTTTTAAACTTAAGATTATTCTAATTTTTGCTGTACCAAAACAGAAACATATTTAAAGTAAAAGATCGCCAGAGTCCTGTGGACTGCTTCAGCTCACTATAGGACTATGATGTTCAGCTTGTTGCCGTGGGCTGGGAGACACTCCCAATTACCTACACTGTGCGACGCTGCACTGGCACCATGATAAAAAGCTCATTTTCTTGGTTTTGTACAGGAGGCGGGCTGACGGTCACAGGGAGAGGTGTGAGGGAAACTTTTTCCCCTAACGATGCTCTCCAGTGTTGCGGGAATGTATGAATGGGGCCTCTGTGTGCTAAACTGCTTCTGCAGTCCAAAAATAAGCACAAAAGAAAAACTTTGAGACTTTCCTCGACATAAGACATCTCAACCATATCTACACATTTTTCATGACAAAAATGCAAGAATAATGATGAAGAAATAACACATTTAAGAAAGGGTTCTTTTGTCACTGATGGGCTACCAGTGTGTGTTCCTTGATACTGTGCTGCAATAATTGGTCATCTTAAACTTTATGATAATAAAGTCTCAAACATCCTTGTTACTTATATTTTTTGTTTTTACTAACATCATATTACACAGAACAGCAAAACCATTTAGAACAGTAACTAATCTTGTGCTTAAATGTTCAGAGAATTGATCTTGTTTGGTGTCAGCATTCACTGTTATAAATACAGGGATGGTTTGCTTAGGTGACATATAGCTGTATGACTTAAAGAAGATGCAAAGCATTCCACATTGCGTATATCTAAGCTCACTTTTGAAGTTTAATATGATAATTTAGCCATCGAACTTTTGTTCGATGCTTTTCACCACAGAAGATCTATTTAGTAGCACACACGTCCCGCTCACAACGCCCCCCCCCCACGCGCCCTCGACCTGACGGGGGACTCTGACCGATCGATGGTGTGGTGCGCGGCAGCCTGCTGCCTCCCTCCTTATCGGCCCGCCCGCACCGGACTGCCAACCCCTCCCCTGTGAAAAGACTAACATCTAGAACCCCCCCTGTTCTCCCTCCTTATACACAGAAACCACCCCTCCCCCCCGCCCCCTCTCCCCACAAGCATCCCCTCGTCACACCACCCACGCCACTGATCCCCCCGCTGTCCACCACCATGAATCCTACTGTCACCCCCACCTCCCCCTCCTGATATCGATGCTCAACTTTTCGCGCTGACTCTCCCCCCCCTCGCACTCCCTCGCTCTTACCCGCACTCGCCCCCGCCCCGCGCGCAACCCCTCCACATCACGTTCAACCCACTACTCCGCACCACAGCCTATGACCGGCTCCAACACCACCTCACCTTGTCCCTAACAGATTTATCCTTACCCTCATTTGCCGCCGCTTCCGGCTTACCCCCTGTAACCCATAGCGGCCCCGACCACTTGTACGTTCTTTAAGTAAAGAGACTGTCCCCTCCGCCCGGGTTCTGAGGTGGCCGGTGGTCACGTCACTCGGCCGGTGCCTGCTTTCCTGGTTGCGCATGGGGGATCCACTGGTGGCCCAGGAGTCCCCTCTGCCCGGCCTCCTTGCCAGATTAAAATTCTTCAATCAGGTCGAGTCTTCCGTGTAAGTTTTATTTGTGAAACAACTGGATTGTTGTGAATCTGTAGGCAGACTATCAAAATAAAGTGTTACCAAACCTTATAGTAACCGCCCTTACAATAACTAAAAAGCGCTGTTGAATGGCAGCCCCCATTAGTAGTCTAAAACGGTGCAGAACAGGGTTTAAATTTGAATATGTTAATATAGTTTTAGTTGTACACAGTAAACACTGGCTCCATGTGCAGAGCTCAGAGCAGCTCGTTATTGTGCATTGATTTCATTAACATGCCCAAATTTCAGTTACCTATGAGAGAGAAAGTCCACAAATGGATAATTATTATCTTAAAAGACTGAATATGCAGGTCTCAAGATGTCTTTTAAATTGTTTATGATTATTTTGTCCTAAAAGTTGATTGCATTTTGCCTTTTCTCTCTACAGGGTGACGCTGGACCTCCTGGGCCACCTGGATCTCCTGTAAGTACCAGTTGACATAAAGATAATGAGGACACTTTTGAAAGTGTCCCAGCAATACTCAGATTATAGTTTGCTGATCTAACTGGACAGCAAAAGTGTATATCCAGCTCACGGCAACAACCTGGGACAAACGTTCAAAGCGGTTTTAATGCAGTAATATATCACGTGGTGGATATTGATGTTGTGAGTAAATCTAATCATCCCCTCGGTGTTTGTGACTTAATTTGCCTTCCTGTGTCTTCCGTAGGGCAGAGGGAGACCAGGAGCTGCAGTGAGTACACAGCACTGTCTTTTTTCTAATCATTCTTACGTGCCCAAAGAAGGAGATTGTGATGTGTTTGTAGCATTTTTACATTTTGCTATAGCTTGTGTTGCCCTTATTGTGTGCTATATGTACTCCGATGTTTTGCACACACCAAGTCTCTTTTGTTTCCAGGGACTACCTGGAACCAACGGGTTGCCAGGCGGAGTCGGACCCCAGGGTCCAGCAGTGAGTATCTGTCTGATCTCCCCAATCACACTTCCTGTCGTCCTCATGAAGGAGTTACATCCTCCGATTCAGAATGAGATAATCAAATAATTCTTAATATCTATTCTAGTTTATTCTATCCTTGATTTAATACCCTGTTGGCCACAGAAAGCCAGCCATCAAAATTTATCATCCAGTTAATTTATTATGTGAATAGATAATAAACAGCAAAATTCATACACAAGCCTCTGCAGCAGACACAGTAAAGCTGATACTGATTGAGATCCAGCAGGTTTTTCTCACAGTTCTGCTGAAATCAACCAGTACAACATTGCCCTAAATTCTTATATAATGTAGCAGGAGCAGGAGGATAAGAATAACTACTGGAGAGGAAGGACACTTTGATATGTGGACTGGCCTAGTGTTTCTACTGGGTCACACTTCATTTAGATTATCCAGTGCTCATTCTCAGCTTATGTGTAACTTAAAGCACGCTCGCAGAATTCATCTTAAGGTTGGGGTTAACATTAAAAATACTGTGTGGCTCAGTAATGGGATTGTTGTCAGGGTTACCATAGTCTACAGAGATGATGCAAGGGGTCAATACTTTTTACCACCTTAAAAATCCCCTCCACACATGTTTTAAGACATATAAAAAAAGTCGGCTTTAAATAATAATTTGTGTCTGATACAGTTTTTCCACAGAAGAGTTCAATCACCTAAGAATTAAAAATTCTTAGAATTACATCTACTCTATCTTTCCTCGTTAAGGAATTTAGTAAGTTTCATGTCCCTAAATCATGCTTGTATATACTCATTAACTCAGATTGAACGTGAGCACAGAGAAAGTCGTCAAATGTCAGACTGCTTATATATCATTCTGCACAGTGAAGGTCAAACATCCAATGAAGTGATAATGAGCAAATCACATTTCTTTGAGTGGGTGGGGAATTTAAGTGTAACTCTTCCCTCAGCCACAACCACAACTGATTGTAATAACTTCACTGAGCTGACATGTTGCAGATCGACTCTAACTTTGATACAATCTGGAAAACCTTTTTTTATCTGTTTCTCAGGGTGCTGAGGGTCTTCCAGGACTTCCTGGACCTGCTGGCCCTGATGGACCACCAGTAAGTGCAGGCATAATTATATACATGATAACTGGTGCTGCTGATACAGTATAGTTATTTACTGTATTTTTCCACTGCCACCCAGTGGATCTCTTGTTGAATGTCTGTGAAGTCACACATGCACATTAGTGTATTGACATTAACATTAATAAAACAACTCTTAATGTGCCGTGTGGTATCATTTCTCCTTGTGTCAGGGTCTTCCTGGTACTCTTCATGATCTTAGCGGTGACCTTCTGGTAAGTTTTCAATCGTGCACCTGTGACAGCAGCGTAATGACAGCATACAGTGGGTGTAGAGTCCTCAGTGTTTTGTCTCTGTCCTCTACAGTGTCCTGCAATCTGCCCCTCTGGTCCCTCCGGTTCTCCTGGGATGCCAGGATTCAAGGTAAATATAGTTTCTGTCATGGTTCCTTTTTTGATTTGCTTTGAATTATATGCTGCTCAGTATGTCTATGGGAATATACACCACTCATGTCACCCTGCACCCTCGCAATACATTTCCTCATGCACACTCACGCCTGTATCCTTGCTCTTGTAGGGTCACACAGGGCATAAAGGAGACAAGGGAGAGGCTGGAAAAAATGGAGAGAAGGTGAGTTTATTACGTGATATAAATATTTTGGCTGCTGTCAGTGAAATTATGGGCTAAAAAATAGTTTTATTGAGTATAGCTGCTTGTATTTCTGTGATTTCATGTTTTTGTTACCATCCTAAGTGTCCTGTTCTGTCTCAAGGGTGATCCTGGCCCACCTGGCCCACCAGGTATTCCTGGGACTGTGGGTCTGCAGGTGAGTTACATAAAGATTTTTTAAACTGTCAGACTTATTTTTTCTGTTCTTGTGTATATCCATTTTTTAAATTAAATATCCTGAGTAAGACTGCATGAAAACATATTGCGATTATGGTGACAGCTATTATGATACGTGGGAATGATCATTTTTGCATCACAATTTTCATTTGGATATTGCACTTGACCATAATGTGATTTAAATAATATTAATTAAATTGAGATTAATAGTACAGCCCTAATCCTGAGTTTTTTTTATGTTTTGAAGTGTCTTCATAATGGTCTAATGTTGTGTTTCAGGGCCCACGTGGTCTCAGAGGTTTACAAGGCCCAATGGGACCTGTAGGAGACAGAGTAAGCAACTTTTACAACATGGTTACTCCTTCCTTGATCAGCTTGTTATCACTCACAATGTAGACATTCACATTTGTGTACCTACAGTATGTTTCCTTTGACCTTCTACTCTGTTGATCCTAGGGCCTGCCTGGTTTCAGAGGCAAACCTGGCATCGCTGGCATCATTGGAAAGACAGTGAGTATCTCCTTGTTTATACACACTTGAAATAAAAACTGTGTTTGGTAGTAGCTTGCAGACAGAATAGACGTCTGGTCCCATCAATGAATAGCTGTGTGTGTTTCATCTGATGTCTCCAGGGTGATGCTGGAGAGAAAGGACCACAGGGATTCAGAGGACCCAAAGGAGAAATTGTAAGTAAAAGACTTAGATTTGTGACTATTGGTTTCACAAGTATACATAAGAGGTATAACATCCTGATGTGTCTTTTAACAGGGTAAAATTGGTCCCAAAGGAGGTCCTGGTGGAGCAGGACCCAAAGGAGAGCCTGTAAGTGGATATCTAAAAAATTATACGTTTTTATAATAAATCACCTCAAAGAACGACAAGGCTCATATGTGACGTCTTCTACAGGGTATTCCTGGCAGAGATGGGAAAGATGGTACACCAGGATTAGATGGCGAGAAGGTAAATTGCGCTTTTTCTTTCTTTTATGCTGTGGGCTTAAATTGGAGTTCACTGCCTGAGTGAGGCTCACAGTGTTGTGTTGCGTTGACAGGGTGATGCTGGACGCCACGGGGTAGTCGGAGAGAAAGGACCAAACGGCCTTCCTGTAAGTATTTAGAAATAGACTTGAGTGTTTCCTGTCTAATTGATAATACATCCTTCATTACCTTGAGTCTAAGTAGCAGTTTGATTGTCATATACACTCTCAGCACCATTTTGCACATTTGTTTTCTCATAGCCTTAAAACTGATAACATAGGGTGTATGCAGACACTCTCAGTAAAGTCATCGTTATGTTCTTTTTCTGTTCCAGGGTCTCCAAGGAAAAGCTGGTTCAAAGGGGTCTAAAGGAGAAGTTGTGAGTACTACAACAGAACAGAAATAGCCTTTAACCTTAAAGCTAAGATTAGGACCATGGATGACAACTTTTACTCTCTCTCTAATTTTACACCAGGGTGATCCAGGGAAGTCTGGAGAGACGGGACCCTCTGGAGAGCCAGGTATTCCTGTATGTATCTGATGGGCTTTTTTTGGGGGGGTATTACTGGGTCACAGCCTCTCTGACTTGTCACTTAACTCCACTTGGAACGTCTGGACTCGAAACTTTCCTGACTTGTCCACGCCATCTTTTGTCTCCTCCCTCAGGGTGATATTGGCATCCCAGGAGAGAGGGGGATAGCAGGACCCAGAGGAGTGGCTGTAAGTTATTGCTTAAACAATCGATAATGCAGTGTGTACTTGCATCTGTTGTCAAATTGCTGCACTGCTTGTGTAGCTATAAAAGCTTCAAAAGCATCCATTACAGGACATTTAAAAATAACCTTTGCCCCATTTAGAAGCCAAATTATTAGACTTTCTGCTGCACAGATGGTCAGCTGTTAAATTAAACCAATTTACATAATTTAGACTCAGTTTCCAACACTTTGAAGCATACTCTTTTAATAACCGGTGTGGGTATTTGAATGCATAATGACATGAGAAAGAAACGGAATTAATGTCCCCATCAAGACCACAATGCAAAGCAGCCTACAGCATGCATTTGCTCAGAGATAAAACAGGAATAGCAGGATAATAAACTGCTGCCCTTTGAAGTTAATGATATTCTGCCACTGAAGTACTAACAGTATTGTGCCTGATACAGTGGCATGTTCAGGTGGAGTCTGTTAGTAATGGAGGGCCAGTGATGAGAGCAGGTATTCATAAAGTAGGAATTCATAAACAGAGAAGTCTTTGTTTTTCACATCAGACCCTGCGGCGAGGGAAAAAAAGGATAAAACAGCATAGGAATTAACACACCCTTCCTCTCGCACACTGCACTGCATAATAAATCATACCTCACACAAGCATCATGCTATTTTAGCAGGAAAACATCAATATCCTGTTTGTTTTACTACTGGCTGTTCATCACAGTGGGATTACATGACAATGTCTGTTTCCAACAGGGAGGTATTGGACCAGCGGGCAACCCCGGGCCTCAGGGAGTGAAAGGCTTCCAGGTCAGTTTCATGACATCACCAGTCATTATCAGTATTTTTATTTTTTTTAATTATCAGGTAGCTTACTGGTTGTGTGCGTCATCTACTGCAGGGGGTAAAAGGAGCCTTGGGGGATCCAGGTCTTCCAGGTCCAACAGGAATCCGTGGAGAGTTTGGTGAAAGGGTGAGTGTGATGTGTGTGACAATAATAAATGTATCCCAGGGCTTAACGTCATCTAGTGTAATCCATGAAGCAGTGTGGGGCTGCAGCTTTGTTATAGCAATAAATATTCTCTCAGTTGTTATTGATTAATCTACCAGTTATTTATTTAACCAATTAATCATTTTGGTCTATCAAATGTCAACGTATAGCTCATTGTAACGTCCTAAAATGTCTTTTGTCTGATCAGAGGTCCAAAATCTAAAGATATTCAGTTTACTGTCATAGAAGACTAAGAAAACATGAACATATGCAGATTTTAGAAGCTGGAACCAGAAATGTTTACTTTGTTCTTAAATATGACTCAAAACATTTAGTGTTTTATCAAAGGAGTTGCTGATTAATTTGCTGTCGATTGACTAAATGCTAAAACGAACTGATTAATCATTCCAGCTTTAATACGTTATGTAAATAACAACAACAAAAACAGGTGCAAGTCAAACTCCAAACTCCAAATTTAAACATAATACTTTAAGATATGTCTCTGCACAGCAGCGTATCTCTACGCAATCACAGACAGAGCAGCATGGGAGGATACTGTATGTCAATAACCAGGTTGTCCCACCTCAGTCTTACTGGTATAAAGTCAGACTGCAGCCAGGACAGATCTCAAACACAAAAAGGCCTCCTGTTCAGAATCTGAGGACAGAACAAAGCCGGTCTTTATCCCCGCTCATGGTTCCCCTCAACCAGCCCACCTCACTTCCCTTCATCCCCCCTTCCCTCTGCCACCGCCGGCCTTCCACAAAATGTCTCTACATGGCTCTCATTTATATTCTCTCTCTCTCTCTCTCTCTCTCTCCTTCTTCAACCCTATAGGGCCCAGTTGGAGCTTCTGGAGCAAAAGGAGACATGGTAAATATTTCTAAGTCAAAGTTCAAGCTGGTCAAGCTTAAATGTGATCTTCACTGAATGCCTTCATAGTCTTCATCCGTCAGCCCAAGTGAATTCAGATGTGTTGTAGTCAGCTGACATTGTTCAAACAAGGAGAAAACAAAACTGGAGTCGTGAGACTGAGTCAAATAATTCAGATCTGATGTTGTCTCCCTAGGGTGTGGCAGGAAGTGATGGTTTACCAGGAGAAAATGGAGAACCTGTGAGTATTTTCTACATTTTCACTGTTCGATCAGGATCCAAACACAAACACAGCATTAGTGATTCTAGAGAATCATTACTCCATTAGCAGTAATTAGTTACACAATTGATTCAGGACTCTGCTCTGAAGGAGAAAACACATTACACCTATTTTACATTGGTTGCATGTCAGTTTTTGTATAGATTTTAACATTTTATTGTTTATAAACCACTTTTATTGTCTTGCACCAGCCTATTTCCTGTTTTCTATTTTATTTTTTTATTGTCTACTTTATTAGTTTTAATATATCACCTTTATTTTGTCTTTGAATCTTCGAATTGCAATAACCTGTATGAAAGGTGCTGAACAAATACATCTTTGTAATGTCAAATCATATTTTTAACTTATGTTAATGTCCTTTTTTTCAGGGTCCTTTTGGCCCAGTTGGACAAAAAGGACAGGTGAGCTACATTAATGTTTTCATTTGCGTTTGTATGTCCTCATACCTCTCCTTGACCCCGTTCCCTCCGAACCAGTTTTCTACTAGTAGTAGACGTCCGTTTATTAACACAAAACATAGTAAGATCAGATGGTGTGTGTGGGTGTAATTAGCCAGCACAAGTTTATTCCAAACTCCCTCACCGAGCATTAAAAACTGGTGCCTCTCTCTCAGCTCCGAGCTGTTGCCCACTTGTCAGACTCATTGCACATGATTCTGCTTCACATTCCAGGTTTAATAGGATTAATTAGAAATAGGTATTGCTGCTTTTGCTTTATTGGCCTGTTGGCTGCTATCGCCACGAGGGAGAGCCGAGCCACATTAAGTGCAGCAGAATTTATGTAATTAGAGACGCGGTACTGATGAGTCTCACTCTCGTAGTCTCATTTACTGTTTGCTGTGCTCGTTGGAGTAATTATCAAGCAACAAGACGCCATATGAATCCGCCCCCGCATTGTCTCAACAGACCCAGTTTGCTCCTTGGTTGGTGTTTAGTCAACGATCAAATCAGAGGCTTGTGGATGCTTTTAGCTCCAGTTTGGAAGAAATTGATTTCTTCATTTTTTGAAAAATATAATGAGTTGTTTCACAGTTAATTCTTGTTGATTATAGCCAGGGAAGCGGGGTGAACTGGGACCTAAAGGCGTGACAGGTCCACAAGGAGAGCTTGGGGCAAGAGGACCCCCAGGAAAACAAGGACCAATGGGCTTCCAAGGGGAGCAGGGTCATCCTGGAATTTCAGGAAAGACAGGCGTACCCGTGAGTGTTTTTTATCTGTACCAAACTATAAAAAATCTTGTAATTGATGGAAGCATATTATAAATGTTGCTGTTTTCTGATAACTGCTTGAACCAGCTTACATTTATGTCTTATTTACTTGTGTTTCAGGGTAAACTGGCAAGTGAGCAGCACATCAGAGAGCTTTGTGGCTCAATGATTGATGGTGAGAATCTTAATTTATCTTTGTCTGCAATTCACTTTTCACAGTTTTGAATACAAAGTAAGCAGCCCGTTGACATTCTGGTGTTTTCTATCACGTGCAGATCAGATAGCACAGCTGGCCGCTAACCTTCGAAGACCCCTGGCCCCTGGGATGGTGGGCCGCCCCGGCCCTTCTGGGGTTCCAGGAAAGCCAGGAGTTGCTGGCTCTATTGGGCATCCAGGTTCCCGTGGACCACCAGGGTACAGAGGCCTGCCAGGAGAGCTCGGAGACCCCGGTCCCAGAGGTATGAAAAATGAAATCAGTACAGACTTTCGATCTATTGGTTAGAACACAAAAATCACTTGATCAGTACCTCTTTAGTTGGACAATGAGATGATCTAATTAAATAAAAAGTCAGTGGTGGAAGAAGTACTCAGATTCTTTACTTAAATAAAAGTACCAATGAAAAAATACTCTTATTACAAGTAAAAACCTTGTATTTAAAATCCTACTTAAGTAAAAGTACTATCAGCAAAATGTACTTAAAATATCAAAGGTAAAAGTACTTGTTCTGGTTCCTGTGACTGACATATTATATATGATATTATTAGCTCTGGGCCTTTGGGCCTTGAACAGTTACTTAAATGAAACCTTCTCATAAGTTTAGAGGGAGAATCACTGTTTGGTGGAAGTCACAGACATCTGAAACATAAGAAAGGACTACAACTACACGCTGCTGTTTTATAAGGAATCACTGGTTTAATCTGTGCATTTCTAAAATGGAGTGGAGTAGAAGATTAAGCATAGTACTTGAGTAAATGCACTTTGCACCATTGATTAAGCTTTCTGTTTACACAACAGGTGATGTTGGTGAGCAAGGTGATAAGGGAACCATTGGCAAAGCTATTGATGGGCCCCCTGGAGACCAAGGATACCAAGGTATGCAGCTTTGAAGAGTACACTGTAATTAGAGCTTAGGCAGATCACAGCAAGAACGTTGTCCCCTGCCAATTTTAAGTTACTACACTGTTCATATACACCTTACTCATTTTTTTTTAACTTGTCAAACACATATATACCTAATATGATTAATGGCATTGACACACGTAAATGATTTACTGGCACAAATGTAATGGAGCCACTATGAATGTTATCAGTTACACCTGTTTTGTCTGAGAAGTCTATTGTAGTATAATCTCACAGATATCTCATACGTCTTTTACAAAACTGATAAAAGAACAGCTTTGCTACAGCTACTTTGTTTTTGACTCATTCTGTCCACAGGTCTCCCAGGAGTACCTGGAATTGTCAAAGATGGGCGTGATGGATCTCCAGGAGATCCAGGTGAGCCTGGAGAGTCAGGCAGGGTAGGTAGGACTGGGCACCAGGGACCTCCTGGAATCTGTGATACATCAGCCTGCCAGGGAGCATCGGTCGCTGGAAAATCCTCCAATCCCAAAAATCATTAAACTTCCTACAACCTGACGCCATCCACCCCTAGGAGGAAGGCTGATAAGTGAGGGAAGGAAGGAATGAAAGAAGAGAGTGATCACAAAAAATGTCCTCTTTATTTAAATATGTGTATCACAAGATGGGAAGAGTAACATCAACAGGTGTGATATTTTGAGAGGAACAGAGGAACATCCGAGGATTGACATGAATACCAGAGCAACTGAGTGACAAAAACATCCAAGATGACATCCAGAAAATAAAGTGGACAGAGGCACAGAAGAGTCCAAGAGAACAACCGCATTGCTCCAAATACTACAGTATCACATAACAAGACTTGACTTACAAACAACTGGAAAATGAATGATGAGTCCATTGTGTATAAAAACTTTGTACATGTTGTTTCCATGCCCCCTATTACCTTTGTTAACATCCTTCTGGCAGATGACTCTAAAAACAACAGTGACTGTCTCTGAGGTGAATGTGTATGCATCATGGCCCATTAATGTAAATCACAGGTGTTACCTCAACATACAGGCTTACAGTGTAAAATATGGAAATAGGCGTCAGAGGGGGGGAAGCCTCTGTCAAGGAGCTGTGTATGTATTGTAAAAGGAATAAAAAACACAAATACCCAGGTGCCCAGAAATTGTGTAGATTAATGCAAAAGATTTTAAAAACTTTTTTGATAGTTTTTTTTACAGCTTGTTTTTGGTTTTTTTGTTTTTAATTTCATGTGAAGTTGGTTCTCTACATTTGAGAGTAACAAAATAAAACTTGTGGATGCATAAATCAGTCATTGTAAAAATCAATTTAAGAATCTGAGAAGCAAAGTCAATTTTATTTTTATTTTTTCTTTTGTTTTTACATCTGCAATGACCACATCCACTATGTACTACCGGTGCTGTAACTATTAAATATACATGACCTTAAATACTATTTATTATTTGTGGGTGACTGTTGTATGTACAGTAAGATGCTACAGCGACATGTTGTAAGAAAGAACAAATAAAGCCACTTTTCAGTAAAACATTACTCTTCTCTACATATCAAATGAACAGTCTGTACTTCAGAGTAATATGCTTAACACTATGAAAGTAAAGTAATCCCATTAATTCTCAAAATTAGCAACACTTATTTCGATGTAAAACTCTTAAATATGTGATTAAAGAATAAATATTTGTGGACAATAAAACTGAACAATATACTGTATGAACAAAGTTTAACAAAAGTTTTAAAAAAATAAGAAAATTAAACAAAATCAAGCATATAAAAGATGCACATTAATGAAAATTTGCTTCATGTATGATAGCTATAGAGCTGAAATCTAATCCTAAGAGCCTTCTCTTGTTTTTCAAAGAGAAACAGTGCCCCCTATGTATGACTTTATGAAAAGTCCTGTATACAAATGTCTGTGGAGGGGGAGAAACTATATCAGCGGTAGAAGAAACGGCTCAAACATCGGCTTGATACAGTGACGTCTTTAGCTGCAGCTGGAGAAAACCACGTTTGAGCATCACACGGCCTCAGACTGAAAACCTTGCACTTTCTAAATCACTGTAAAGGAGTCAGGATCAGAGCTCCCCTCAAAAGGACACTTTTTTTGTTGGCCATTTTCAAATGTTACAACACGTCAGCCAAACTCACCACCAGACCTCATGGGACAACCCCAAGCTACTAAAATGTACTAAAATATCTGGCTGAGTTATCTGATAAAACAGTGAGGGGGTCACTGCTCTACCGTGAGAGGAATGCTCAGTGTCTCGTCCATCTCCCGGTGGATTGGGTCCTCGCCTAAAGAAGAGCCGGCTTTAAGAAAGAGTCCTTTCTCAACAGTGAATGCCTTCTGAAACTCCTGTAGAGCAGGAATAGCACATTACTGTGGTTACTGGCAGATAGTACCAGTCTGTGTCTAATTGTCTTAATTTGCTGCCATGTATTTTTTTGGAGAATAGAAATCGATTTCCACAGACTGCAAATCTACAACACTAGATGAGATGGATGCACCGCAGTAAAATAATAACGTTTATTTGATTTTAGACTGTAAAAGGGAAAATAATTTATTTGATTTGAACATTTCTAAATAACAAAAGTCATATAAAGTCAGCTTTTGGTACTTATTACTCAGGCAGCAAGAAGCAATCTAATTAAGCTCCAGGTTTCTAGTCTCAAATAATTCAGTTACAGGGTGATCAAACCAAATGCTTTTCATCAATAACTCCAACATTAAACAACACAAATGTACCTCTTTGAATGTGTCTCCGTATGTTTTATTGATGTATCTGAGGAAGGACGTGGTCCACTGCAGGGTGGTGACTTTATCTGTATCCGACTCGCAGAATGGCACCAGCATGTTCAGCTCGTCACAGCACGAACGAATCCTCTTCCTGCACAACAGCACAGATGATACAGATGTTTAAAACGAGTGTTTCTCAAACTTTACGAACATGAGACCCTGTTCTTTGATCCTAAAGTCTCATGTCCCAGTTGATTGGCGTATAGAAGACACTGTTTGGGAACCTAGAGCCATTTTTGCTTGAAAAATTACTTAAATGATAAATAGATTATTTGCAGATTCATTTTCTCATCAATTAATTAACTATATGTTTCAGCGCTCATGTTATACCCTCAAAAATTCCCACTATGGAGCAGAAATGTTGACAGCATGTACACAGCATAAACACCTGATGGATGTGTAAATTACATTAATGCAACCAATCAATAATCGTGTCCAAAAGCTCAATTTACTACTCGGGATGCACCGATACCAGTATCAGGTATCGGGTCGGATGCTGTGCAGAACTACTCCAATACTGCACCAGATACCACTTTACGGCAGCGTGATGTTATGTAACCTCTTCTTGGTTGAGCACGTAGGCGGGGAAGAAGCAATGTCAGCAGTTTGGAGATATTTGAATCAACTTTTACAACAACATTGGCAATATTTTATTTAATACAGTCAGAAAGTAAGGAACAATAAATGAAAAAAAAAAATCCTGTTTTAAAAGTCATTGTTAGAACAGTAATGGTATTAGTAAGTACTCATATTAGAACTCAATAAATATGAGTATTTGTACTTGTATGTGGTGTGAAGAAAGTGGTATTGGTGCATCCCAACTTACTTTAACACA